TTTTTTTTTTTTTTCCATTGATACCGCTTTTATTTTAACCATGGCTGTGGAGTCGAAGTTGTGGAGTCGGAATCGGGGTCGAAAGCAATTAAGGGGTGATCAGAGTTGGACTCGGTAAAACTATATCGACCCCAACTCCAGTTGAATTTACACTTGATGTAGCACATCTTGCATTATAGAATTTTTATTTTTGTTATGTATTTTACATCCTGCAAAAGATTATATTTCAACTTCTGTTATAAAGTACTTTTATTTTTGTTTTGTACTTATTTCTTATTTGCAAATATATATATATATATATGTATGTGTATGTGTGTGTGTGTGTGTGGAAAGCGTGTGTATATAAATATAAACATATATATATATATATATATATATATATATATATATTAGTTAGTTAGTTTTTATGAAAAACTAGGTAATCCGTATGGTTAAACCTAAGTAGGATAAAATCCAGAGAGCTCAATGTAAATCCAGAGCAAATAATTTAAATAAAAACAGACCACTTTAAGATTCCATGTAATAAATTATTTCACCACAGCCCTTTTAAAAAGACTGTGGATCATCAGACTTTACTTCCCAAAAAAAAAAAAGAAAAAAAAGTCTTTTTTTTTGGAAGTAAAGTCTGATGATCTGTAGTCCTTTAAAAGGGCTGTGGTGAAATAATTTATTACATGGAACCTTAAAGTGGTCTACTTTTATTTAAATTATATATATATATATATATATATATATATATATATATATATATATATGGTACTTATTAGAAAAGCGCTCAATATCAGAGATAGAGCTAACATATTTGGTTGGATTGATCAATCCAACCAAATATATATATATATATATATATAATTATTTATATATATATATATATATATATATATATATATATATATATATATATATATATATATATATATATATATATAAAAGTCTTACATTATAGTATTTTTTTTATTATTATTGTTATTTCTTCTATATCGTTTCAAAAGATTTTGTCTCTAATTCTGTTGAAAATATTGAAGAATAAATAGGTATGATATAAAAGCTACAATATCTTTATTCTTTGATATAAACCAGTTATGATATAGGCCAACTCAAGTTAGGTGCATATGCATAGGCTTTGAGATTTGTAGGCCATAATCACTTAATATTGAAGAATGAATAAGTATGATATAAAGGCCACAATATCTTTATTCTTTGATATAAAACAGTTATAATGATATAGGCCTACTCAAGTTAGGCGCGTATTCATAGGCTTTGAGATTTGTAGGCCATAATCACTTAATTACTTAAAGAAGAGTCGGAGTCTGAGGTGCCAAAAATAGAGGAGTGGGATTCGGAGTCGGAGGTTTTGTGTTCCGATTCTGCAGTCCTGATTTTAACTCCCTTCAATCTTCTATATGTATTTCCTGATATATGAAATTTCTATTTGTTCTTATATGGGCCTGAATTTTTTCGGCACTAAAAATGAGACACGCCGAAGAAAGGGTTGTGAAAGCTTGCGTTAAACAATTCATTTGCTTTTAAAAGAAGAAAATAGCAAAAGGAGTCAGGTACTTACTGGAGAGATACAGGTAGCCGACCATTTTGTTTGAATTTTAATGGATCATATCTACGGGTTCCACTTGAGGTCAAGTGCGAGTTTGAGACCCAGTAGTCATTCAAGGCACGGCGCCTACCGGTTACCATGGAGAGGGAGTATGATGATGTAAGACCCGAAACCCCTAACGACCCTCGGCTAAAAACTTCACTGATGTTGTATGTATCAAACCGATTTATTTCACAAACGTCCATTGAATTCTCACTATCCTTCTGTAGAACCACATTTCTGGTGCCTCTGGTTTTCTCCTTATCCGTGGGAAGATTGCTCAACATTCACTGCTATATAAGAGGGCGGATAACATATACAGGGTGCGATGGATAAATTGTCGCCTAAATGACGCAAACATGAAAATAACGCCGACATCTCATATTAATAGATATACAGGGTGCGATGGATAAATTGTCGTCTAAACGACGCAAAAATGAAAATAACACTGGCATCTCATTTTAACAGATATACAGGGTGCGATGGGTAAATTGTCGTATAAATGACGCTAAAATGAAAATAACACTGACTTCATTTTGATAGATATACAGGGTGCGATGGATAAATTGTCGTATAAATGCCGCAAAAATGAAAATAACATTGACATCTCATTTTAACAGATACACAGGGTGCGATGGATAAATTGTCGTATAAATGACAAAAATGAAAATAAACACATTTTAACAGATATATACATGGTTGCGATGGATAAATTGTCGTCTAAATGACGCTAAAATGAAAATAACACTGACCTCATTTTAACAGATATACAGGGTGCGATGGATAAATTGTCGTATAAATGACGCAAAAATGAAAATTACACTGACATCTCATTTTAACAGATATATTTGCCAAAAATACACAAAAATATCTCCAAATACGAAAGAGTAAATTTATTCAATAAAATCG